CACGTTTAAAAACAAACCTCTACAAAGATAAAACAGTTCAGCAAAGCATTGGATCTCAGTCTGTTTTTCATGGCTTAGGGCTCCGAGGCCCTGTCACTTCCCCTCTGGGTGAACTATCCATCTCTTATTAGCAAAGCTATCAAAAACACATTCTGGCTTATAGAAACTACAAAAAGCCACAAAAATGCTTTGCATTGTATTCCTTTCATATGAAAATATAAGCAAGTGTATCGTACAATTGTTTTTTATTTTTCCTTTTTTTTGTTTATTAATACTGAATAGTTAATACTAGATCGAGAGTTTTCTTGATTACACTAACGTAGCTCTTAGATCAATGGGGTGGTCCTCGTGCAGCTCCTGTCTTTACGGGGAGCGCTAAAATTGCAGAAGGTCCCACACGTTTAGCATCAGATTTGTCTGTTTACCTGTACAATCCTTCAAATGTTGCATAAAAGCTCCTCATTTAGTGAGTAAATAAACCTTGTAACGTCTGGCAACTCGACCCATGCCCGTCCCCCCCTGTCACCCTCTATTTACATAAATACGTTGAACCTGCAACATGACATCATCTAATGTTAACACACATTTTTGCAAGGGAGAACTGCAGAGAAGGTATATAGCAATGAAACCGACACTGTACACATGTATTGTTTGTCCAACTCAAGTGCTAAGGTGTTTTCCACTGGACACACTCACATGTTAATGTTTTTTTTTCTTTCTTTTTTTCGTCTCTAGTCACTGATATATCGCTGAGGCAAATTGTAAGTACGTTTTATGAAACAGAGTACCTGACTATTTTTTTGTTTATTTGTTGATATGCATATATGTACACATACACACACGTGTAAAGATATATGCATACGTGATTCTTTTTATCCACACACAATACAATTTATGCATAGTTCCCCAACAAAAATACCCCCCTGATCCCATCCCAATCAACGCCCACCCTCCCAAACCCCCCATTACAACACCCCACTGGTTTATATAATGCCAATATGTATAGCACACACACACACACACACACACGCACACACTCAGCAAAAAGAAAACAAAAGGGAAAAGAAATTACAAACAGATTTTCGAAAAGGGTCTTTCCTTTTCTTTCCTTCAGCGTTGGAAGAGATAAAAGGAGGCCATGGGGTTGGGTGGTGAGTGACTCGTCACGTAGAGCGAGAGGAGGAAAAGGAGGGGGCTGACTTTGGGGGCACTGTGACGATGCGTTGTCGGGGGGCTCAGGGCAACTCGGGGCACGGGAGAGGACAGCTATCATGTCGCCCATCCTTCTGACAGGCGCACCCGCTTGATGGAGGGGCTCTCGCGTTCATCCAAGGCGGGCCGGGACAGTCCCAGAGGTGAGTGGAACTCATTCCTGTGCTCGTCGCGGTCGCTGCCCTCGTGGGAGCTGCTACAGCTGCTCAGGCTATCAACTGGGGAGCGTCCCGAGTCCTGGCGGGACGAGGTGTTGTGGGGAGGTGGTACCCCACCACCGTAGCCCCCCGATGTGCTGCTGGTGCGATCTCTAGGAGGAGAAACAGGTTCGGACTTGATGTGCAGGCTTTGAGCAGAGGGCAGGGAGAGATTTGAACCCTGACATAAGTGAGAGCTAGAGCAATTTCTGTTGGAAGGAAAGCAAACAGAGGGGTTACAGAGTTACAGAGCAAGAAAATATGGGATTTTTAATGTCAGTCTGCAAATGTGACACATGCATTCAAACTCATGAAAACAGCAAGGTGTCATATTTGTGTTGGACCTTGCAAGTCCGGTTGAAAACATCGACTCTTAGATTTGTGAGTGTGGTGAATCTCTAGCGATGATTCATGTACGACCATCGTGCATTTCACAACACCTTGTCACTCACCCTAGCTGGCCGAGGCCTGAATGCTGCATGTTCTGAAGGTGTTGCTGTTGCCACCCACTCATCGAGCCAAGGTGAAGGGAGCTGCCGCTGTTGAAGCCGGACAGGGAGGACAGATCTGCACTATTCAGGGAATACTCTGTGTACAAACACACAGGGGGGATGAAGAGGAGGAGGAATATTATAGGTTGTTCAAGGAAGGTCAGAGAGCCTCACTGACAAATGCTGGGTCTGTGTTAGTGAGTGGGACAATAGCACCCTCTGCTGTTATAAAGCTGTATAACAGTTCAAAGATTTTCTAAAAGCATCACATACATTTTAACTGACGTAAAACCCGGAATTGTTTGGAATATATGGGTTTTGTTCTGAATTAAAACACATTACATTATCTAAAATACACAAGGTAATTAGAATAATCCTGCGTTGATGGAAAAATGAGAACTTGATGCTGACGGTGATAAGATACGTACCGGTACCATAAGAAGTAGAGATGGCAGATGGGTAACCACCCATGCCTTGTCCTGGTAGAGTGGGAGTTGCTACTGATACCACAGGGGTGGCCAGTGACTGAGCCGACTGAGAGTTGTTTATTCTCTGGTTCTGAGACAGATAAAGAGAAGGCACAGAGAGAAAAGAGAGATGGAAATAGCATGAGAACATGAAATCACCTCCCAGACAAAACAAACAAAAAACTGCAATAAGCCCAGAAAGTTTTTTTTTCTTTTCCATTTCTTTCTTCCACTCAACAGATGCTGAGAAAATGAATGTGATGCCAATTCTGGGGAAATTAATCACTTGACGTGCGGCACGGCTGAACCCTGCCAACCCTATCATTTACCACCCTTTCCGAGGGCGCACTGTCGCTATAGTAACACCATCAGTCTCCACAGCAACACAGGGTAGCGACGGCAAGGGAGAGGCTCTTTACTGTGGCAGAGGGGATGGTTGGTGCTGAATCTAACTGAGGTTTGGTGCAAAATCAAAGTGACATTTTTTGTTGATGTTCATTTCTATATTCTGATAAATAAAACTGTGAGCATGTAACGTCATACAGAGGTGTATTGATACAGGGAGCGGTGGGAAGAAAGGATTGATGAAGGCTGAGGCAAAAAAAAGAGGCCAGGCTGATTTTACTCTGATGCACCACTGGATGGCAGTATGTGCCCTCACAAAATGTCATGTGACATTGGCGTCTTCAGCGCAGTCAGCAACAATAAAGGTTAAAGTTACAGTGAAGTCGGAACCACTTGCCTATGACATCCTGTATGTGACTGTGACAATCATTAAGACGTTAGACTCAGGTGACTGCTCTTCATTCTACAAGGCACATTATGCTCTTTAGAACGACATTAACCAGTTTCAGACTGTCAAGGCCCTACTAGGGAGGTTTTGATTTCTAAATTTGAGTGGCAGTCCAACTTACCAAAAGCAGATCAACATCCTCAGACTGATGGCATTAAAAGCGGAGGGTGATAAAATCAAATTAGTGAGTGAGAATAGAGAAATACTGGTGAATCTAGGGATGGAGCTGCTGTTGGAACAAGGGAACAGAACTAGTGTGAAAAAACAGGATGCTAACTATTACGCACTAAAAAACTTTATCAGAAAGCGAGGAGAAGGTAATATTGGGGTCTGTAGTTTAAGTACGAACATTCACAAACAGATACAGCTGATGAAATATATCAGTCTTGGGGAAAAGGACATTTTGAAGAGGACAGTTGCTGATTCAAGAAGCTGCAGAGGCACATGAGGAAACAAGAAATGTGCCTAAAGTTAACCTCATCGACCCAAGTCTGATACAAAGAGCTGGAAGCAGCATAGAGGACGAGAGAGGAAATAAACCACAGTAACCTAAAAGATACAACAGGGAAGAGAGGGTGGTCAAAGGAGGGAACGATGGTAAGAAATGAGGGGATGAAAAGATTACTCACGATGGAGGGCATGTTGTTCTTGGCGCCGGGAGGGATGAGCACACGTAGGTCGGGTTTGCGATTGTTCATGCCCAAGTTCATGGGCGGGGGAGACTTTGCCTGCATGTTCTTGTTCATGCCGCCCGGAGAGACCAGCAGACCAGGCGAGTTGCGGTGGTTCCCATATCCATTTCCTAAAAGAGAAAGAAAGATATTAAATATACCTCTACCCCTGAATAGTATCTGAGCCAAAGGCACAGCTATATGTTATTAAACCTGTTACAAGAGTTTAATGAATCTTGGAGATCCTGCTGTCCATGATGGTGTAGCCTAATTAAGAACTACGGGAATCCATTTTCACCTCGTGCTCATTTCCAGTGTTTCTGTCTCATCTGCTCTTCCTGTGGTAGAATATTTTATGAGCTCACCAGTCTGAGTCATTAACAGATACTCAAACAGACGACTGTTTTCGCCTTGAGAATCGCCGCTGTTTGTTTGGCAGTCACACAATGAAGGCATCCACTGGAGAGGACCTCACCCTCCACCTCTGTCACTGTCAGTTAAGGCTACATGTGCCCTGCAACAGCCAGTGAGTCGTGTAAAAACGTCTAATTACGGGTAGCAAGACCACAGAGGGATGGGACCCATCATTTGGCCATCAGAGTTAAACACATGTGGTTCTTCCAGACAAAGACCCTGCCTTGGGGTTGCCACCAGATCTGCGTTCCCTTAACTACAGAGGGCCAAGTGCAGCACCCATTTCTCCCTCAAAAAACCGGTGGGGCGAAATCCTAGCAACGTCATTAAAAAAAATTGAGAGTGGAGCATTCTTGTGAGCAACATAGTCTTTGTTTCTAACCCAATGCCGCAGGCTGTTTTTCCCCTTACTTCTCCTTCCTTCTTCCACGGGGTAGAACACAGGGCACTGTGTGGACGATCCCACTTGAAAGACGGGCAGGAATTATACGTTAGACATAAATGAATTTCCTAATCATATACTCCAGGGGAAAATGAGTCGCAGATGTCTTCCTGGGCAATTTCCCTTCGCTGATCTTTGTTTAATTTGAGAGCGAGGTTTTTGTTGTTTGGAAATGAAAAGTCTAAAAAGCTCAATTTCAACAATCTGAAGAGTAAACGACCGCTAGCGGTGAGAGAAAATGAGACCGTCTGACAGAAAACAAGAACAACAGTGTGTGTGACTGCCGGTGTGTGTGTGTGTGTGTCTGCTGGCATGTGTAAAGTGTGAGCATGTATAAGTTGATGTTAACAACCCAGGGTGTGTGTGTGTGTTATTGTATGTTTTACTGTAGACAATTTTACATGCATGATTCTCTATCAGTACCGTTTTTCTGTCACATTATAAGCGCAGACATAGGCACAATATGACTTAACACCCTATGAGACACGACTGCTTATGCACGAGCGTGATGCATATGGATGCACGTGTGTGTTTTGTATTGGACCCTCTTAGTTCCAGTGTCGATCTCACATTGGCAAAGAGGCAGCTGCCTCTTCAGTTTCCCCGCTCCCTTATTCTCATGGCTGGCCCTTTGTGCGACTGAGTGGGTGCATGTGGAGCCAGATGAATGGGACCGCACACACACATAAAACACACATACACTGCACACATACACACGCTTTAGTACATAACCCAGCAGGAAGTACATCAGTGTTTCTGTACAGATGAATAAAATTAAAGAGACTGAGCCATAGAGAGACATTAATACACACTTTGGTCAAGATGACACAGACTTCATCTTGGTGACGGTTAATCAGACATCTGTGTATTGCCACCCTGTGAAGATGGTGGCTGTCCAGTCAATTATGTGCAAGATGACTGTGATCACGAGCGGCACAGGCCAGTCACTTAGCACTTCAAAAGTAAAAATCACTCGCTAATTAAGCCAATGAAGCAAGAACTGTGGCTCTAATCTGTCCGTTCTGAAGCTCGATCCCTCTGATTTAAGGACGGTTGCGTTCAGTAACGGCTGCAGCTGAAGACATGATATCAAGTTAAGAGTTCTTTTCCACTCTCTTCCTCTTCATGCTTCTTCTCACGCTGTGGCGCAGGCTGGCGTCAACCATTTAGAGGAAGTACCAAAATTAAACTCAGCTCACTCTGGGGTTTGTGTTGTCACTGTACGAAAGTAACGTGTAGAGAACGACATTTGATCTTAGAGTCCGATAAACTGCTTTTTTGCTATTTCAGAGGTGTTGAGGGACATCTGAGGTCATACCTTGGGGACGAGTTGCAATCGGCCTCTGTAGGTGCCACGGTTGAAGCACTTCAAGACGCACATGTGTGACAAAGCCCCCCTAAGAGTTTTTTGTTATTTCTCTCTCCCTCTCTCCCACACACACACACACACACACACACACACACACACTCACACACACACACACAGATACACACACACACACACAGATACAGATACACACACACACACAGATACAGATACACATACACACACACAGATACACACACACACACACACACACACACACACACAAAGGATAGGTGTGGTTAAACTCATTTTTAATGTCCTGTTGTGGTCTAACAGGCGCGCTCCATCCTATTCCCCCATACACACACATGCTTCCGTTGCGGTTTGGCCAAATGTGCATTAAACCCTGAATTCTCCAACTGAACTGAGGTGTCACACTCGCTAACAACTGTACAGTTGGTGTGAGGTGCTGCCAACAGTGAAACAGACATCATCTGATCTGTTGAACCCGACTTGTTGTCAGTTTCTTATATGTTTTCTTTCTTAACTTGCGTTTCTGTGGGAATTTGACCAGAGACGTTTTAAAGATGTACCTCGTATGTAATCCATCCGAGGATGTAGTTGGCCTGTGATCAAGGTGAGAGGCGAAAGGAGTTTCTCGTTAATTCCTCTCAGTGCTTTTTAGAGTGCTGATCCGAGTAGAGATGACAGCTACATAATTGCACAAATGGAGGTGGGAGGTTTTCACATGCTGGGTCCATGGTCTGGATCTGCGTTCATCAGCTCGCTTTCACTCACGCTCTGTCTCGCTCCTCAGCTCGCGCTCGCTCCTCACAAGCAAAGGATTTGACAGATTGATGACATACTGCATATAAATGAACGAACATATGCGTGAATATGCACATTTCAAAGTAAATTTATGTAATATATGATAACTCATTGGCTCCAGGACCCCCAGCGTCCCTTAAAGGAAGGATGGATGTGATAACTCAGCCTTTCAGTAACATGCCTTATTTGTACTAAAAAATGATCTGGGGACCTCGTATGAGTCAGAATTTACCTCCACAACTGAGTTTCAAGTAGCAAATATTCATAGGATAATCAGTAAGTCATTTTGAATTGAATATACAGGCAAAAATATAAAGG